AATTGACGATTCCCCACTTCTTCACTCCTCCTTGTCCTTGCCGTCAGGTTTAGGACACCCTCGAACTTTGACCGAAGGTTGTAAGAGTGGTATTAAAGAGGTCCTCATACTCTCGCGCCCTTGCCAGATCATCTCCATACCTTGCCACCTTGTCGGGATCATCCTCTGCTCGATGTGAGCAATACTGACACAGTCGACGCTTCTCAACTCTTCCCAGGGTACCACGATGTCGAAATGCATGACAATCCGAATATACATGAAAACACTCGTTGCCCGGCACTGTGTAGACTTCCCCCGGCGGCTCATGAACATAGCGCAAAATCACCCTCGTCTGTGGTCCGGTCACAGGCATGAAGGCAGTCGTCTGAACCGCTGCATTTGCAGTCTCCTTTATTCCCTTCGCTAGCTTCATCAAAATCTGAGCACGTTCCTCTTGAGATGGCTCACGTCGATGCTCACGAGGTGGATCTGCTCTTTGTTCCCTAGGTCCTCTCTTGGAATCCAGGGCTCTTTGCTCTCCACGGTTCCCTGCGCGTTGTGTAACCTCCTTTTGAATGGCTTCTGCGGTGGCGTCTCTCAGACGCTGTAATCTGCGTAGCCTTCTTGCGCTCGATCCTGGGGTAGCCTGGTCATAGATTTTCCAAGCTGCCCATTTCACTGCTTCCCATCCCAATAGGCCCAACAACAGCGCTATCCAAAGCAACATCCAAGTAAGCATGCCATAATCTACAGACATACCAGATCCATAGACCACCACAGCTTGATCATCCCGGATACGCTCGCCAACTGCTGCTTGTGCCAGTACCAACAAAGCTATTAGAACCTTAGGGATAGGGCTTAGGGTGTTTGTTCTGCTGCTGCTGACACGTGGTTCTCCACGATCATCTTCATGCTGAGTGCTTGAAAGATCTCCTCCACTTAATCCAATAAGTTCACTCAGTGACCTTAGCCTTCCGGAAGACAACGGCTTTGTCAGCATATCAGCTGGCTGAACATCCCCACTACAGTGATTGAAAACTACCACATCACGATCCACTAGCTCGCCCATCCAGGCACTTTTCAAGCGAAGATGTCTGGTTCTCCAACTGCAGGATCCCTTCGCAATTGCAAGCGCCGAGGTACTGTCCGAGTGCATCTCCATCCGAAACACCCCAGCACCAATATCTTGCAAAACAGCCTGAATGCCTTGTAGCGCCACCAAACCTTCCGTAGCTGCCTCCAGCTCCGCCTCTGCTGTTGACAACGTGATGCAAGCCTGTCTCGAGGACCGCCACGCTATAGTGTTACCAGCTAACTGAATCAACCAGCCGGTGTGAGATCTGTTGGAGTCCGGGGCAAAGGATGCGTCCACAAAGGCACCAAGGATAGGAATACTTCCATCGTATACCAGCTTTCTGTCCTTGGTTCGTTGCAAAAAGGCCAACACCTTGTGTCCAATATCCACAGCACGACGAGGGGCCCTCGTCGCAAGAGAGCCTATGAGGGAACAAGCGAATGCTATATCTGGTCTAGTTCTCTGACTGATCCATAGCAGTTCTCCTGCCGCTTGCTGTGCAAGCTTGATCTCCTCCTCACTTTGCGGGCTCTCGTTGTCCTCCGCAATGAAGGTGGCCGCTTCCTTAGCGATCGGCACGAGGTCCCTCCTTCTATCAGACATTTTATGGAGTCTCAACAGCTCGTTAATGTAAGATTTCTGAGAGAGGGAATATCCGCCGGGTACACGAGCCACTTCAATCCCCAGAAATCGGATCTCCTTTTCCTCCACGAATTGTAGCGGGCTCGTCTTCCATAGCCGTTGGATTGCTTGTGCCAACAATCTGACCGTGTTTGTTGCCCCACACAACAGAATATCGTCGACATATACAACCAGGATTCCAACCAGCTTTGAAGTAGCCTTCTCTTGCACCCTCCACCATGAGGATTCGACGCCGCCCCGAGACAATATAACCTCCTTGCCATCAATCTCCAAGCAAACATCTGCAAGCAGCTGGTCTCTATACGCTCCCCAAAGTCGCGGCGATTCTTGCAATCCATATACCGCGTGAGTCAGAAGCCATAATTCGCCTGGCTGACAAATACCCGCCTTCACCAGAATCTTTGGCGGCCTCCCATACACACGCGGTGCCCCTTTCACGGCGCACAGCGGCGTCTGAAGAAACGCAGCGACGATGTCTATCATACCCAGATCCCACTTGAAGTATGTCGCGAGAGCTATGGCCGCCCTCACCACTTCGGCCGGAGCAGTCGAGGCGAAGACGTCGTCTGGCTTGTGCGTCGCGAGGTTGCCGCATATTGCAATCCTCGCCTTGCGCTTGTAGAACCCTTGGCCCTCAGAATCTGGAGGTTTGAGGGTAAACACAATTTTCATCGGAATAACCTGTGCCACACCAGAGGCGATCTCCTGTTGTACTTCAGCCGCCGTCTCTTGCACCTTCATTACTGCATGCTCAAGCGACTGAGCTTCCTTGGAAATAGCCGGAATCCAGCTTTCAAGGTGGCTGGCTGCTTCGGAGGGACTGACTGTATGAACAATAGATAACGGAGAGGATAGGCCTTTCAGCAATTCTTCAGCTGCATCTGTGTAAGCCACTTCAGTCTTGTAAATATACGGTTCTTGAACTCCTCCTTGACAAAGACTTGCTGTAGCTACTCCATCATCCTCATCGTCCAACACCAGCCGCATTTCCCAGTCTTCCCATTCCTCTTGTCTCACTTGATCATTGGCTTCAGGTGGTGATTGCTCCGCCTGACTTCTTTCCCCAATGGTAATAGATGAGGTTCGGGATATAGACCAGTCACATGCAAACAAATAGTCCCCATCTGAAGTAGGTATAACTTCCTTCCACCCACCACCACGAATCGGGACTGTCTCCTCCTCAATGCTCTTCGGCTTGGTAATTGCACGGATGGACATCGCATTGATGTAAATCTCCGGGACTTCAACATCATCATCATGTAAAGGTAGAGGGAATTGCAGATCCCATAACACTTCCCGGTCTTTCCTACTCACAGACGCCAAAAGTCCTGGAGTATATCCCACTATAACTATTCTTTCACCATTCCACGGAAGGACAGCATGACGTCTATGCGGATCAAATGCAAACACCTTTCCCTCTTGCAAACTGTGGGCACATCCATATCGTACCCTCCCTTCTTGCGACACCAGTTCGAGAACTTTCCCAGACACGGTATCCCCATCACGAAGCTCAAGCCATAAATCTCCGCCTCGTCGTGGCATGGAAAGAGGAAGAAGATGATTCACAGTTCCCACCGCATTGTTTCTGTCAATATGCACTTCAGGTTGGTTGTTTGCCGACACAAATACTGCAGCAAACTCTGCATCAGGTGACCTTTCTCGGAGGACACGACTGAGAAGGCGAGCGAACCATGGTCTTTCTACCGTGGCCTTTGTGATTCCCAATCGCCCTCCATGTCTGAACATTCCATAACATCTTTGGTCATCGGGGCAAATTCTTGCCACTTCAACCACCAAAGACTCCGCCTCCTCCTGAGACCAACTTCTCAGAAGATCCTCTGCTCTTTGCTGTAACTCGGATTCATCAACCACCCGAGCCTTTGATACTTCCACCACATCGCCAGAGCCCGCAGCCTTTCCTCGGACTCTACGTTCAGGAGCTCTCGGAAGCTCAGCCTCCACAGCATCCTCGATAGGTCCCGGATCGTGAAGTCCGGCTCGGACGTGTAGTGTATGAATAAACCGCTCTCCTTGGTCGTCCTTCACATAAACCAGGTGTCCTTTGTTCAGGCTGTCAGACAACCCGAGGTAATATCCAGAAACCCACTTTGGTGCCAAATCCTCCTGCTTGGGGCCTTCCATATGCTTTTTCCGAACCAAAACCTTTGCTCCATAAGGAGCCGCAAGCTTTGGCTCAAATCCCAGCACTTCTCCCCGTTGCATTGAAGTCGCTGCACTCAAAGCCGATGGCCATAGATGTTGTGGTAAGCCTGCAGACAGAAGCAAAGTACGCGCACGCTGCTTCAACCATTTCACTGTAGCCTCTGCTGTACCATTTGTTTGATGAACTCCAGGCTCTGAAGTAGTGACTCGGATCCCTTCTCCTTTGAGCCACTGCCTTGTTGCTCTTGCTCTGAACTCCATCCCATTGTCCGAGTGAAACCTCAGTATGGGAATATTAAGCGACCGACAATACAACACCACATCTTGCACTGCCTCCAGCACTGAAGTTGCTTTGTCATCCTTCAAGCCACAAGAAAATATGAGGTTCACCAGCTCAGGTCCAGCTAAGTCCAGGTCTTCTTCGTGATCTCGACGTGCTTCTGGCTTCAACTCTGGCTCCTCATCACCATCAAGGCTCTTGTCTGCCTCCTTCTCAGAAGACTTCGGTTCACTGTCTTCCGGGGCCAAACCATCGTCGACATCATCA